ATCGTATACCATGCACATGTGGTAACTGGTAAGGTATACATAGGAACGACAAAAAGATCCATGGGATCTAGGATGAACGAGCACAAAAGAAACTGCAGACTAGGACAATCGGATAAATCGGCAGTTGCGGAACATGCGCTTAGTGAAGGAAATCATGAAATACTCTTTGGTAAGGTCAAGCTTCTTGCACCGACTTCCGGATACCAAAATCATCTTGTACGTGAAGCTATAGATATCCACAAACATACGGAGAACTTCAACAGGAAAGAAGAAACACTAAAACTTAACCAAATCTGGAATCCGATCCTCAAAAACGCAAGAAAGATCCCATTGAGTACAGAGAGAGTTGAGATTAGCCAAGTGCCGCGAAGCCCCGCCCCTCCCCCACCACAGCCACTCACACATAAATACAACTTACGGTCAGGAATGCGTCAGTCTGCTACCAGAATCGGACATGGAAGCACCTCTGAAGATGCTAGCCACGCGTGCTAGCGAAACATCAGGAAGAAATTCCAACTTACGACGGCCATTATGCCCGAATGAAAAACCCTTATCAATAAACTTGGGCCGCGAAAGCCTCACAATCTTTCTGACTGTGAAAATATACACTAATACACACTGAAACTTACTTAATTGTTTTATTGCCATTGGTTTTACCTATGTCAGGATTTGGTTGAGTTATGTGCCTTATTTATTTTCTTCTCAGAGTTATCAATTACGGTCTGCAGATTATTTTTTTTAGGTGCGTTTCTGAATTTCCACCTTTCCATTTTTTTTTAAATTCAGTGGCGCCCTTGCCATTCTGTACTTATTAAACTATCCATCCACCCCTAATAATTATCCGCTGAGCAAAGCGAGCATATTATGGGCCTCTTGTTAATTCATTAACAAAAGGGGTTACACACCATTTTCGACGTCATTACTAAGTTGTCAGCTGTTCAAACAGCCTACGTCAAGGCGAGAAATAACATGTTGCCTACGTCATAACTGGTGATTTGGCGTGGGGGGGTCCTGTAGTTGTAGTATGTATCATCCTTGGTGTTGAATCACCTAAGGGCCACGCTCTGGACAACCGTCCAGGTTCGCTCTAGACAAGGGTGGCTTTCAAGGGCCTGGCGAACGCAGCACTTTCCGTCAATTGAGGTCACCAAAAAACTTCCGTGACGGGGTCATCCAAGGTGCATGGTATGCCGGAAATAAACCCTAGTTCTATCACTCGTCGATAAATTCGGAACGAAATGTCCACTGAAATTTGAAGACTGCTGGCCTTCGGGGTTTCTGAAATTTCTAACCCAGGTTCTTCATGCTAGAACCGGGAATCAAACATTGTTTTTTATGCTAGAGCCGGGAATCAAACATTGTCTCCGAGCCGGAATAGTACGATAAAATTGGTTCTCTCAGCACTACGGAAACAGTAGATAAATACACTCAGTGAAGGTCGCTAGGCGTTCGGGTGAAATTCATAATCGACACTAGGGAGGTTATGATAAGATAGAAAAGGGGCCAATTATGTACCTGTGACATTTAGAATGTTACATCACCAAAATAAAAATGAACAGGGATTACAAAAGAATAAAAGGAGAAACCAGCTCACTCAAAACCTCTTACCAATCCCTTTCACCCTTGTACCTGGAGTCAGGAAGACATGTGAATACGCTGGAGTATGTTAGACCAAGGTATTATTAGTTCGACTATTTTCTCTGTAAACTTGTGAATTACATTATATTATAGGGGTTGGATAAAACAAAAAATGCATTGTTTTAAATTTTGAATAATAGAAACCCGTCAACCTAATTGAGTCAATTTTCCCCTCATAAACAAGATAAAAATAACCTGAAAAATAAAGTATTGCATAGAACTTGAACTATATACCTACCTACATCATATATCCATATGCATTAATCCACCTCCTTCATAAATAATTTTCAACTAAGCCCCTTGAGAAACAAAATAAGTAATAATTACCTACTAATCTAGTTATTGCCCTGGTATGAAAACTATAATGATACATATTGAGCAAAATATTTTTAAATATATCGGGGATTTCATAAATTCTTATTTTTAAAGTCGAAGCCAACACTAAAATACCAGTTTTGGTTCACTTTCATAATATTTGTAATCGACATATTAATTAGAATCAAATTACTTTTGCGCAATCATTAAAAAAGGTAAATTTGTAGTTGTTCTAATAACAGGATGTTAGGTCTGGGGTAAATAACATCATAAAGGTAGCAGCAAAGTTTGGCACTTTGGGGATATTCTTTCGTATGAAAGGTCGCTAGGTAATTACCTGAATGATGTTGACAACTAAAACCATCAAGAACCAGTAAAATTAATAAGCATTTAAGTCGTATTCAATTTTGGCGATCAACTTTAATTTGTTGAACTAAAATCGCCGAGCAAACTTTAACCTAAAATTATCTCTGTCGTTTTATGGCTACTGCTACTAACTTCATTGTAAAGAAAGCTGCCTTTTTTAATGTTGAGTTGAATGAGTGCTTCAATTACGATGCTATTATCATTGAAAAAATTAACGCTGATAATTAAAAAATCAATTAAAAGTAATAGGTGCAAATTAAATGGTGTCCATCGTTACAGGCCGTAAGTAAATAGGATGAATGGTTCCTGTCATCATCATCATCATCGATAATTGATTTGAGGAAACAATAAACCAAATTATTAAATGGTGTTTTTAATTGCTCATATACAAAAAAACCTTCAAAGTAGGTAGCGGACAGTATTGTATACGAGGATATTATAATAAATTGTTCATTAAAATAAGTGCTTCTTTAATAAAGCGCACATGCATGCATTATGGAAATTATCACTTCTGCGTTAAAATTTTATTTATCCCGCTGATGATTTCATTTGAATTCTGTTTGGAAATTGCGTTTTGCGCGTAAAAGATATTTTCTTATCAATTTTCAATTTTCAGGTTTTTTTCATGAATTTTTTTTGTTGTTGCTCATTGGAAAGAGGAGTCAAAATTAAGCTCAACTATGTTTTTTCCGATTTTTTTCGGATTTGCAAAGGCTCTAAATTTCGATTTGAAGTTCAAATTTCTTGGGCTTGTGATGTCACGGCACCAAATTTCTGATTGGTCGGTTTTATCTAGGGTTGCCCAGATGTTATGGAATATATGTAAACTTTTCCTAGCGGCGACAACTCAAATCGATATATCGAAGTCACAGATTTGTAAGTAGTTATCGAAATATGTAATCGATTCATTCGATTCTCATCCCTATGAAACACTTAACCCAACTTTTTCATTCATTAGGCAATTTATCGCGAGGATAACCAAGCATACTCGATTATGCTCAGATTTTATGTGTCAATTGTGTCATACTCCCCTAACTCCCCCACCATCCACCATCAAATTCTGGGATACTCGAGGATCAAGAGCACTTAACTTCTTCTGTGAGAACAGACTGAAAATCACCTTTTCTACATTTAAAATCGACGAAAAAATTAACTCACTAGCACAGTCTGAATCGCAAGCATTCCATCGAGGTCTGCGGGTGACTTCATCACTATAAGATGCTGATAGTGCCGTCACTCGCGGACCCAGAATTGGATGGGGAGGGAGTTAGGGGAGTATGACATAATTGACACATAACATCTGAGCATAATCAGATTATGTTTGATTATCCTCGCGAAAAATTGCCTATTATTTATAGTATTTATATTAAGCAACTATACCTACGTTTATGTAGTATATAAAATACACTTTCATTTCAGATAAACTTAATCTTAATAGACCTATCTATTTTTACCTGTATGCGCGCGCAACACGAGGCAATGCATTTTTATTAGCTAACTAGTACAAGTGTAAAGTAATCCTTTTGCACGCTGGGCATCTCCTTGTCCTTGTTCATTGCCCGTGGTCTGACAAGGATAAAATTATGCTCGATATTCAACTTGACGTAGCTTGACAAGTGATCAATTTTCAATTGTTTGTGTTTTCGATTGACAAATACGATGCACGTCATGCAGTTTTCGTTCTTCCTTTTTTATCCCGTGCAAATAATAAGAACGTATTGCTATACGTAAGTCTAATATAATTTGGTACGTTTTGCCTCGTCTTGCGCAATGAGCGTTCTGTGTCTTTTTTTATCTAATGAAGTTTTCGTATTATTACCTCTTTGTCTGGTAAAATAGATAGGTCTATTTCGATTGAGTGTAAAAGGTCTGTAACAATTATCATTGTTTAAACAAATAACCGGTTTAAAATATGGTTGTGAGCTATTTGTCAAGTTTACTTGGTTCCGGGAAGTTTCGGGAAACATAAAAATACGCTATTTTGCAAAATGTTGTCTTCTCTTTGTTGTTCACGGCTCACATAAGTGGAGTGAGCCTGTGGCAATTTCGGTCATGAATTCAGATCCATCTGCATATGATGATTCGCCCTCATATTTTGCATGCGTCGTATCTATGAACTTTCCGTGAGTATTTGTTCTATTAGTCCAATGGGTACATTTTAAAAAATTTTGGAAAAGCGGTAACCCTTTCATTTCAACTCTTTGGCACACCCTTTTTTATTCAATTAACATTGAACTGTCGTGTCACTGCTGTAGTTTTAAATGTAGAACAACCGCGGAACAATCATTAAAGGAGTGTAACGGCTTCTGTATGGTGGTATGGGACGGTGCGACCTGTTTCACCATCACAGACGCAGCCTAGGTACATAAACCGATTTTCATTGTCTACTAGCTTATTTTATTTATTTTTTCGTGCAACAATCAATCCTTGCGGCTACAATTCATAATAAAATATTCCTGTAGTGGATTTGTATTCCTTTAATGCCCGGTTTATTAACCTTAGATAAACTTACTGGTAACTGTCTAGAAGATAAATTAATCAATCTATAATCATATTGGTCGGCAGATAACTGGCCGTCGAATAATATCATTAGATTGCGTTTTTATCCGTTAGATTGCATTACCTGACAGTTTATCAGAAACTGGCCTGAGTGATGAAATTTCAAGTTTTGTTGAACTTACCGTATCAAAAAATTCTGTGAACTTTGAGAAGTAATACCACCAACTTCCATACACCATCTGAAATTGAAAAGAAATTATATTAATATTAAGGAGACTTTTCTCATTTCCCTCACCAATAGAAAGTTTTTTTCACACGGTTCATATGACAAAATCGGGTTTATATTTTATTCTCGAAAACTGTTAGACTAGAAAACTGAGTATTTCACTGGATGCTTAAAGAAGTGCCTTTGGAAGGTTCTCACAGAATTCAGTTATTCTCATAAAGAAGAAAGCTTTCACAGTATTGCTCAAAATGAAATCCCCTTTAGCGGCGAAATGCGAAAATATATGAAAATGCGGGTTGCACTATTAAAGGGGGTGTGACCCTAAAAAACGAGTTAAGCTACTTAAATCAAGAAAAAAATTCAAAGATCTCTCGTGAAAACCGCAGTCCTATATTCAAAATAGTCTCCGAGAAAATTACTTGTGAAGATAAATTATGCAGGAACTTGTGTTAATATTGTCCCTGATAATCCACTGTGACGTCACAAACACCTAGTTGTTACTTTAAACCGCCATAACTCGAAAACGGACCATTGTAGCAAGATGCGGTTTAAATATTTATTCTAACATTTTTTTGCACTAAAACTTTCATTTTTGGGTCACACCCCCTCTAAGTTTTCATACAAATCTCGCTCAGAAATTGTCGTTTTTTTTAAGTGTCCAAATTGGCCAACACTGTACATTACACGTGTGGTGATGCTTTTTACGCCACTAATGTGGTTCAAACGAATCAGCACGAATCATTCTACGAACGCCGTGGCAACTCTCTTCACCCGTAACTGTAATAACTCTTATCACTAGTAGGTAATAGGTAATGATTGTCTGAAGGTGGTAGGTATGTTTCACTTAATAAAAAACTTCAGACTTCCATTACTTTTCGGAAGAAACCATGCACCGATTATGATGTTATAACTGACACATCTCAGCTCAAGCTCAATGAAACTGGAAGGAGGAGCTATAAAACACAAAAAAATTAACTTTCAGAAGGCAGACTATAGAATCAATCAACAAACACCTATCAGACCAGTGTTATCATAGACGGAAATATTTCAAATCCAAATATGATCATTAGGGGAAAATTAACGAGAACACCAAATACACCACTGAAAACAGAAAAAAACAACCCAAAGAAAACAAGGGCAAAACTAGAAGCCAGGAATCAACTGAATGATTTATGATACCTAGATATATACATAACACAAAAAGACTGAATTAAAGAAGTTTTTCTTCAGACATACCTACAAAAAAATGCTTAGCACAAAAGAGACAACAATTATTACTCTAAAGGATGTTTGCAATAATCTAATTACAAACAAAGAAGAAATCGTGCAAACATTGGCTTGAATCTACCAAGTCCTATTTCAACGGGAAGGCTCCCGTATCTTCGTAGAATTTCCCGAGCAAGCCTCGAATTGGCCTTCGTATCCAATACCTGAATGAAGAGCACTGTTCATCCCAAAACCAGGCTTATCTACTACCAAAATAGATAAAAAGGCTTTCAAAACAATTAGCCTCTCATCATTTGTACTAAGGAAAATGGAAGAACCCGTAGAAAGATTTATGCAATCATATAATAATGGAGAATCAGAACCAGAAAAATAATATAGTTTCTCGACTAGAAACCCACATTACATTTTAAGAAGGTAGCTCTGGGAGCCTCAGATATTGTAGAGGCTTTTGAACATGTCTCTACAAAATCAATGATGGCGTCAGCGAGAACAAGTGACATTAGCCGCTTTCGGAAAGTGTGATCCGATTAATCCTTCGTAAAATGATCCGAAGTCGAGTACTCGCGATCGGTAAGTGATCTTGTTGACTCGGTTTTCTCATATGTTTGTGATCTCGTTAACCCTGCTCTTGACGTGGGTAGAAGCTGTGGTTATGTGTAATGTTTATTTTATGTGTTTTGTTTCCGTTTTTTCAAGTTTTGTTTTTGAATTCTTGTGATTTGTTGTGTTCGGGTTAGTTTGCAGTGTCTTTGAAAGGTCAAAGGTAAAGACCTAACCTCAAATCGTTGAAAAAAAAAAACGAACGCAGGTGCCGACGAATGGAGATCGTCGATCCCAATCGTTCGGAAACGTTGAATAATCTACTCTGAAAATGAGCTAAGCGGCGATCAGCTGACATCAACCTACTCGATCCAGGATTTACATTTTCCGAAACCAACTATCGAAAACATCGACGAAACTATGTTCCTTTATCCAATTTTTTTTACTTTTTTTGATCCGCAGAACGAGTTTATCTGATGGCCGTTCCCATATTACATTTCGGAGCCTCCGGATTTAAAACGAGATCCCGCAGATTTCTCAGGTAAATGTCAATGTAATTTGTCAAATTCATAATTTTTGTGAATTTTAACACCAATACTCTTCTAGTTTACAAAGAAACAAAAGAAGGAGAAGGGTTGGATTAAAATTTTTTGTATTGTTGTTTATTAATATGACAGATGACATGATTGAAAGCAATTTCACTAACCGTTTCCAAGGTTCCGTTCCATTATTCGAAACTTCCTCCCGCTACTCTGGGATCACGTGACACAAAATTCTTGTCGCTCCAATCTACTCCCGTATTGGGTATCAACAACCAATGCCGACGGATGCCCAGGATCATGGGGACGACATAAAAATTGCTGCAACAGAACAATTTCTGACCACAATAGGAAAAACCCCTGAATACCCTTGGAAGAAGTTCAAGAAAGAGAATCTCATGTTTAACTTTAAAGACGCCTATCACGTACAGTAAAACCACAGAGAAATTTAACGATATTCGATTCTTGACTGACCGAATATTTGTATGCCGCACACTAAATTCAAGATTGATCTGGAGTCAACACATTCGAAAAGCGCTGGACAAAGTAAAAATGTCAATAGTAGACGGACGTTCAATAACACATGGGAATTGTAACCAAAAATTGAAAAGTAGAAACCTCCAGAAGCTGGCTTGTTTGTGTATAACGTAAGCCACGGGAAGCACACCAAGAACAGCCCTGGAAGCGATTTTGGGATTGATGTCCTTGTACATTTATACCATAAAAGAGAAAGTCCTAATTGGAAAGAAGGATACACAAGAACCAAGGAACCGATGACTAGAGGTTCTCTACTAGAAATACAATCCGTTCCATGAATCTGAAGTCTGCAAACTGGCCTAAAACGTTAATGGGTTCACAAACCCTGACTGTATCTGGCGCCAGAATATTCGATTAAAGACCTAGAATAAGAAAAATTCTATCACTGCGCAATCACGCGACATCATTCTATGTCGAAATTTACGGTATCTTGGTCTCTGCTGAAGAGACTCTCAGGTGGCAGTATCAACATCATCGTATAAACATTCCCTCTGACTATCAGGATTCAGGAGGCCCCTAAAGCAATCATCGCATCAAGTTAATTCTAGGATTCTTACCGCACAACGACACGACATCAAGACGACCATTCAAATAACAGGCCGACAACATCCTGAAGCACGATTGCAGAACCGCCAGGAATATGGTAAGACATTGGCAAAAAATTTCTTAAGAAATTCCTCAGCACAATCGAAACCTATGAGTGCCCAACAGTCTGCAGGTTGTGTTCTGATCGTAGCTGTGAATAGTGCATAGGATGAGTTTGTATTGTTTCTGGTCAAGACTAGATCACACAATAAGTGGTTTTGCTCTATAGGACAATGGAGCAACTCGAATTCGCAATCATTGGGTACTGGCACTAATTGCATACCGGTTTCGAGCTCATTAGCTCTCATCAGTACAATATAGGTGTAACAAAATCAATAACAAATTTATATTCTCGGTTCAAATTCATTATTCGTGGGAAAAGTTTATTAGCTATCATAGCTAGATAGCTAAAATGTGACCCTATGATGAAATTTACGAACACATGGAGTTCTGCGAAAGGCCTAATCTGTTCGAGGGTAAAAAGCACTTGAGCCAGAAAAGTATCGAATTTTATAGCTTCAAGATTATTATTGCTGTAATCCAAAATTGACAAATATATAGGCAAAATTCATGTTTTCCGAGATAAAAACTAAACTTTAAACGAATCTCTCGTTTATTATCAATTATCAAGGGTCGTTACTATAGTCAAATGCTTAGTTATAATTAAGATATAGGTAGATTAAGATAGGAGTGATTACTCAATTATTTTATTATTATACTAGTAGAGATATTAGTTCATTAGAGAATTTAGATCATTTCACACCCTTGATAATTAGGTTAGAATTTAGGGAACTTTTATCTTATACATTTAAATAGGATAGAAATTAGGGAAACTTTATTTTATACATTTAATTAGGTGATTAGAAAAGGGAAAGATTTTCAATTAAAAGGGAAAACAGTAAATGTTCAATTAATAATTTGATAACATGTAAGCAGCGAACTCTGTTGGAGAGCCATCAAACTGAATCACAGGGTTGAGCACTTTGGATGGGGAAGGTTGGATAAACTTGAGAACCAATGGAAACACGGCAAGAAACCAAAGGGTACTTTCAGCGAATCGCTGTAAGCTAAGAGGGTGGAGATCCTCGAATCTGGCAAGCCCGGTACTGGAGAGCAGCCAATGGGCTTCTAAAATGGTACCCAGAGGGTGGTTCCGTTCGCTTATTTAACCAGATGTAGAGGCCACATAACTTTAGTTATCGCCAATTTGCCACAAGATTTTACCACGAGTAATCGCCGGAAAATTAAGTTGCAAAGTCTCAACGAGTTCTCGATCCGTTCCTCATCCGCTAGTTCATCTACCGCCCGGTGTTTTAGTGAAAGCTCTCCAAAGAGGTGATAGTTATTTTTTTTAATTTCAATTTCCAATAAAGTCTCAGATTTTGAACTAAATCTTTCAATTGGAAAATTATTCTTATTTCTTTCAATTGTCTTTAATTTTTCTTCAGTTAAAAATTGTTGATGGTCTATTAATTAAATAAGGTATTTTAGTTTTTGTTATATTTTACCTTACCTTTTTTTTATCTTTAAATAATTAACTTTTCTTTCCACTCTTAAATAAATTAATTTTAGTCTTTCAAAAATAGTCTTTTCTTTTCTGGTTTTAAAATTCCCATTAAAACACTGGTGGTGGTGTAGAAAGATCTTACTTGCCGGTTTGTGCGGTTAGAGAAGGTGTTTCCAGCTTCAGCAGAAAATTGGTAAGTGGTACTAATTTTGAGTCTCTATTAACACCTTTCAATAACCACTCCAAGAAGGGAAGAAAGAAGACTTTGTTCAGATTGCCTCCGATTCAGAAAACTGTTATTTACTGCTTCAGATCAAATTTACTTTTCGGCATAATTTACCACGAAAGTTTAAGATGTGACAAAATTATTCACGCTACCAAAATATCAATACATAACATCTCAATTTTGTCACATAGGCGAAAGCACACCAACTCAGAGGAACAACTTTACTAGAGATTCCAACGATGTGATAGGTATACCTGAACCTGTTATAGCGTGTGGCTCTATCTCCTAAAAGTCCTACAAAGCAAAACCAAGAAACGACCCTTTTGGGTGTGATAAATTTTTAACTTTTGAAGATTTCAAAAAACCTACTTGACAGTGTGGCGGAATATAAATGAAAAAAGAGCTAATGGGATAAAAACCGCGGTATGAAATTATTAGCCCGAGTTCCCAATGATTGAGAATTCGGGTTTCTTTATTATCCCTTAGGGCAAAACCACATTTATTGTGTAATCTGTTCATGACCAGAAACAATATAAAATCATAGTATGAGTTACTAACAGTTGGTGCTACGATTAAAACACTTGTGCTCTCGTAGATAATTTTCGTTTGTTAAACACAACTTATCCCATGGAAACCTGGAAAAAAGTCTCGCCCACACTGCAGATTTTCGTGAGCAGAACAGGGGCGCAGAACAGACATCAACCGTTAAGTGCATACTGCCCTGTATCTTTTTTCAAACAGTCACGCAAAGGCCAATTATACCAACCAACAATGCAATAATTAATTATTCATAATTGAAAATAAAATAAACAAATGGAATATATTTTGTCTTGAAAATCTTTAGCACATCGAGTTTTTCTGCTTAGGAATAGTTTACTAAATTAATTAGACATTTAAAAACAAAAATGCCGCAATGGCCCGTCATTTAAGGAACGTTAATATTTTTTTCACGAGAGAAAGTATAGATTTTTGATATCAGAAAAATAGTTATGGGATTTGTAGGTATACCTATGTATATAGGGTGAACATATTTAAACAAATTAACCACTTGTCGGAATTTGATGTTTGCAGATGCAGGAATATTTTTGCATTTTTAAATAAGCATTGCTCATGATTTAGAGAAAAACATAATATCTACCTACTCTAGTAATTACGTACCATTATTTATTAACTTTTTAAATAACCCTGTATCTATGTTTGGAATAGTAATGTACGCGAAATCCCTGTACAATATACATAAATACCTTATACTTATTGATAATATAGTTGTATGGTATGGCAAAAAATGTAAATGAAAGTTAAATATGAAAGGCCAAAGTTTAATGTAACAAGTAATAACTGCACTATACAGGGATTTACCACGTTTAATGGATATAAATGATTACTTACCCTCATTGCAAAAGGCGTTGACGAGTAATCCACGGGCTGACATTTGAAACTATAATGTGTAAGCCATCCTGCAGCAGAGGCCTAAAAAATATGATAATTACTATTTTTTCGGTAAAAAAAAAAACAATTTGCCTTACCTCATAGAAAAGCCACGTACTAAATATCACTTGAAATAAATTGTAATAAATTAAAACTTTTTTCAATTCAAAAGGTTTTCTATTTTCCATTAATTTAGGGCCTATTACTTTAACTATTAAGACGTATGTAAGGCATATTAATAGAGTGGGGAAGGGCGAGCTCATTAGGAACCAGTCTTTGACTCTTTGATCTAAAATAAATATATTTTGGTTCATGTTGTCATAAAAAAGAAATCAAAAATAAGCTACTTACCACTTTTATTGTCCATCAGGTCCCGATAAGCATCGTAAATATAGTGTAGTATTTGAGTCATTTCGAATAATTACTGTAAAAAAAATAAAAGTAATTAGAATATTTATTGTAATTAAGTATTTCTAAAGCTTATAAAAATGTATATTGTATTCTGATTCGAATTTTTGGAAAGAACTTATACAGATAATTGAGTCCATGGAATGATTTAGTCGTCAACATTATTATAAGTTAATGGTTCTTTAATTACGGTGTGATATTTTTATAAATATTTTTATTACACGTAATTATTCCATATTCCAGTAAGTATGCCTGAATAAGAAAAGTAAATAAACATACATTGAGAAAAATTCATCAATACAACAATTGTATTGGCATTTATTTAATAAAGTGTCGAATAAGGTTTTATGCTCCGTACTACTGATGTCGCGGTATTACGGCGAATAAATCAGTTGTACTATTTCAGTTTAATAACCGTTATCCCGCTTATGCATTACCATAATATAAATGTGAAGTTTTTTAGAAAAATTGTATAGCTAATTAACATAACTTGCATAACAACTATTTAAACCAGAGTTATATAGTGGTCAGTTCAATGTTTGCAAGGTTTGTATCAACGTACAAGAACTGTTCAGTAATAGGCTACCTGCCTTTCTCTCTTCACCAGTTCTAGAGATAAGTTTGCTTCATTTGACAGAGGCTTTGTGGTTGTGCATTTCATCATTCCCAAAAATTCGCGTATCTTCATTGACCATGATTTCAGTTTGAAAGTCCTTGTGTGGCGAGATTTTCTTTTATATGTTTATCTCTCGCCTCCGCTGTAACAGTTCATCCGTTTTCTGGTTCTTGGATCGCCGTCTTTCTTCACAGAGTACTTTTGCAATATTGTCTCCAACTCCTGAAAATCATCTGCGTTTCAATCTTCCTGTTTTCTTTCCTTCAAACAGGCATATCTTAACACCATAATTTAGTGCATGGAAAATGTCTCCGGCGAGGATGTTATACCTACTCAGTTTTAGCGCTTGCCGCAGGTCCGTATATCTTAGTTCATTAGTGAAGTACTTAACATTGACCCAGATGAAGCCTTTCAGAGCATGAGGATATGACAACTGGACAATCTTCTCTATGTCACTGCTAAATGCCTGGATGATGTCCGACTGGCTTTGCAATTGTTTTTCAATTATATCTTTGATTTAGTTGGATATGATACCTGTTACCCTACCTCAGCTCCAAGGCGCTGACAACAGCTACATAATCACATTGTTATGCCCCAGGAATAAAATTTCGAGCATCATTTCCCGTAATGCCAGTACCGACGCTGTTGCTTTTTATGGTTCATGCCATCCATTTTCACTGATAGAAGCTTATTGACGTGCATATACATGGGTCAGGAAGGATGTTTCACCGTCAATAATTATTGTTGGTAGTTGGAGTTGGCTGCGTACAAAAAAGCTCATTTACATATCCATTCTGCTGCCACTCCCGTTGTTGGTTTCAACGCATACCATCTCGCGTTTTTCACTAGTTTCCAATATTTCTTGTCGAATTTTTCGTGGATCGCCTTTGACTGTTCATTTTTCGCCTCATTTGACTTCATCTCGAACCGCTTCTTCCTATTTCGCCTTTGACTTCTTGTTGAATATTCTGGAACAATCCGATGATCCTATTATTATTATCTTTCTGTTTTTTTTTTTATCCTAAAATATTTTCTGGAAGCGGTGCTAGTGTAGCTATTGCTTATCTTCTTGTTGTTGCATAATTTTCCGGAGTCGATACTTTTCTACATCTACCTGCTGACGTCGGCTTCTTCCTCTTTTCTTTTAGTAATCTGTGTTCCTTATTTTCCCTAGATTAATCTATCTGGCTTTATTCCATTCTCGAAAGTTCTTGTAAACATCGAGTATGCAGTAGATAGTAGGTATTTTGCATTGGGATGTCCGAAGTTAACAGCATAAGAGGCTTTAGTTTTTTTTTCACGGGGCTTGGGGATGTGCATGAAATGGGTCTATATTTAAAATCAAATAGGGACGACATCGAAGTATTAAAAAATTGGTTTTCCCTGTATACCCCAAAAATAAAGAGTTTTCGGAGCCATATGTTTGAATAATTTTTTTTTTGTACTAAGCATAGAATTTGCGATAGATTCACTTTGTATTGGTTGTTTCTTGTAAGGCAAAACGGAAAACGTTTGCAGTATTTGAGCAAATTAATTTTATTTTTATAAACCATGTTTGTGAGAAAAATGTAATCAATTTTCTTTTAATCTGAGGTTCCAACTTCCAATGAATTTGATAAAATATCGTGATTTCTATGTTTTAGAGAGTACCTACCTAGAAATGAAAATGATGCCAAACAAAATTAGAAGTAGGTATCTACTATTTTCATCTTTATGAAAAAAATCATTTTACTGTATAAAATGTTACGGAAACAACTTCAATAATTTTTCTCTCATCAACGAAATTAAAAAAAAAAAATGTCACGTAGGATTACTTACAAAAACTGCTTTGCGCTGTAAATTTTCAATAAATGTTCAATGTTCAATGGCCATGCCTATTCACGCACTAACTTTCATATTCACTTAATTATTCCTTTAATAACGATCTATCTACTCTTCGCAACACGCATAATCAGACAAATCAAAACACTCATTATACTTGGCTTTTTATAATCTTTGAATAATTATTAATTTATGCAAATCGAAATAGATTGGATGATATTGAAAAATTTGATTTGACTATGCAAACAACATATATACATGTACTGAAAGAAGCAGGTATTGGGACATACCTACATTTTCAAGTTCAATATGATATACAGTAAATGGAAATAAAGACAAGGACAAGCAACGTAGCGTTTGAATGAAAATGGAGTAAGTTTTTGCCAGAGGTCATTTTTGTTGTGAAACCGAAATGGACCGTCAGCTCAGGCTGAGCTGGCTGAACTCTAGAATTCTTTCTATTGAACAAACGAAAGCGTGACCTTCACTTTATTGCTCTGGTGTACAAGTTATCGCGAGCACAGAGTGGAGTTCATTTTGGATAAATTATATACACAGGTGATTTTTGGTTTTGTGTTTAGTAGGATTTCGAAGAGATGATACCATTTACCATTTGAGGTCACATCTCACATCCATGATGGCATGTGGATGTTATATTAATCTGGTTTTCTGATTTGGTATGCTCGCTTGTGTCGCACTAACGAGAGCAAATAAGTTCGAAACTGGTATGTAGCTAGAGAAGTATCAATCGATTTTCTCTTCATTGCCATAGAAAGCGCAAACAGACGTATCGCATATTCTAGCTGTGTGTTGAAGCTATACAACTTCATATAGTTTGGGATGAGTGTAGTGGATTGCACACTTAACGTTTGTACTAGGAGTTGAAGGAAAGTGTCTTATTTGAAAACTGTGAAATCCACAGAAAATATTCCGGTTTATTACCAAAATATCAAATGCCAAAAATTGCTCTGGTTATCACACCATTAATCTCATGAGCAGCTGTTCCTACTTCAATTTTTCATCTTCGATTGATGAAGGCAACAGATATAAACAAGAAAAAAATGTGTCGCTGGCGGTATGCTACTATCATGGCTCATTCAATAGTCATGTCATTACTCATTCAAAGTTCCTAAAATTTTCCAATAAAGTTCAACCTTGCCGCATCACAAACAATCAATAATTTAAATCTTAACAAATTCCGCAATAAATCCTCAATAGTTTACGCAATGTTCGTTTCATTATTAGATAGTTATTTAATACCTAATAAATAATATTCTAAGAACAATATTTTTAGTATTAGACTTAGCTATATAGTATTTGTTAATATTTTTGCACCTTGAACTTTTTAACCATATATTACACACGTGGCATAGATTAGTTAATCAAAACCAATCAACACAACAAACAGTTTTTTTAACCATTTAGTCTATTTCTCATCAATACATTTTCATGAAAATTCCATAACTAGGTTCCGCACCGAACGCCTTGTCAGGAAACAACATTTATAAAAGTGGATAATATTTTTTTTTTCAATGCATAAATGGATGGTTCTTTCTAAGGACAGGTCAAGTTTGGCCCATGGAATATTCCCTTTATAAAATAAAATATACAATTTCGCTTTGATGTTCTTTTATATCTATTATAAATCATATTAAGTGCGATTTTGCGAAATTGCGTCTTCTCTAAGTTGGAGAAATGGTGCACGATTTGGAAACACAGCATGTGGGTACCAGGGATATTCCCACGAATACGAAGTCTCAGCTTCTTATTAGGACTTGAAATAATTTAGCTCTTTCCGGTACTTTACTAAGTTATCAATAATAATAATAATAATAATAATAATAATATTAAAGTTTTATTTATTCCAAAAAAAAAAAAATCATTTAAACATGTTCAAATTCTATACAATTCTATCATAAATATGGAATAAAAGGCTGCGTCAGCTTGGCTCAAAAAGAGAGGCAGCTGCTAAAGCCCCATGACTAGAATCCTCGAAAATGGAATTTTCCTTGATGAAATAATCAAGCGAATGATGGATGGACGTATATTGGAGATTCCTTAGAAGGAAATTGTTCAAAAAATTATAGAAGGACTTAAAAGGTATGAGCAGTCCGCGATGTCAATTAGGGTGTTCATTTGTACTTTCTCTCCCTGCTCGAAAAATCAGCAAGTTCTGCTATTTATGAGCTTATATATGGGACAAGTGAACGCTGGCGCCGATCTGCTGCTGAGATCTGCTTGACGCAAGAAAAGCAGTAGAAATGAACACCCTAAATGAAATATAATTTTTGATTGGACAGTAAATTTTTATAGTGAGATACTTTTGTGAATAGTTCATGTTGAAGTGTTGTAGTAGTGCCAGTGTGTTGTTTTAAAAAATAGTTATTTATGTCATTAGGCCAAGAAGTGAGTCTTTTTGCGGTGATTTCAAAGCACAAGAAGACCTTTTGGACCGAATGGCATACAACATTTTATCCTGAAGGTACTGGCATGTTTCCTTTCAAAAATTAATCGCTGCTTTTTCATCTAGGTACCTATTTTCGGAAAAATGAAAGGCTGCTTCTATAATGTACGACGTATGTCAAATTTATTTAACTCAAATGTCAAATCAATATTAGTTGACTTGGGACACATTTCGTTGCTCGGATCATGAACGCTCGTGCGCAACTTGATTGTCAGTATTTATTAATACTCGTACTTTATATGCAATAATTTAATCCATAATATATACTTTATTCAAGTTTGAACGGTTCAAAACAATCGCACAGTTCATCAATTAACAAAATACAGTGCCGCTGTCATCTAGCAATTCAACCAATTATTGTTGGTCTGTTATGACTTAGTTTTATTTGTCCTGAATTTTCGAGAATATGTTTTCAAAAATAGATTTATTTGCGAAAAAGTACACTAAGAAAATCAATTTTAAAATAAATCTACTTATAACTAAATAAAAAAATTGTATGTAATGAATTCTGTTATTTTTCGTCTAATAGGTATATCTACGTCATAGATGGCCTATGATTATGAACTTTTTTTGATAATTAACATTGAAAAAACTAAATTTGTTCGCAGTTTGGCATAGAAATGAAACCAAAAAGTATTTTAATTTATTTGTATTTGTAACACCCATTAGGACAAGAGTGGATGATTATTGCTTGCATACCGTTGGCTAGTTATAAATATGTTGGTGACTATTCATGCTGTGCATTAATTTGATTACTTCTTACTACACGACTACACCATAAAACAATATAATTTAAAAAAATAATTATTGAAATGTTAGCTAACGTTTGTGATCGTCGACCTTTAATTTCGTTTGTATTTTAGGTTTCAACTGGAGACATAAGGACGTTCCCAAATTATTAAGCATACAAAAATAATCTGAAAAACTATAAACTAGGAACCTCGAATTTAATTTTTTTGCGTTTCTTTAAGTCGAGATTCGTCCTTGCGAAACAAAAAATTATTCCTCATCATTCTTGAACAACAAAGCTTGGATTAAAAAACTCGGTTTGGTGTTTGACGCATTATTCTGTATTTGGTGATGTGCAGTAATCATTACATCTTGAAATAAAAATAAAATTACTTTGTTTACGATGATGGTTATTTCCCATGCTCTAGGAAATATTTAGGCAATCAAGAATAGGAACACATTTACAATGGAAACACACACTATATGTGCAAACACCACTTACAAGTGCAAAATTTATAGGTACTGAAATGCCATCAGATAACTTAACCTATAGTTACTTACTTGGGTCTTATGGGCTATGGCCGCCTATGGTTTATGATCGCTCTATGGTCTTCGATCCTTTTGGCCTTTCTTTGTACTACTGGAAAAGGAAACAGAGTATAAGAAAATAAAATGGTAAAGTTCCACCAGAAGTTGAAAATATTAAATATTTGAGGTATTCTTTGTTGCAAGTAGTCCTAGTAATAACAAGTACCTAATATTCACCTACTTGGTTCTTGGATTATAGGAGTAGGCGTAGGCCAAGTTATACTATTGACCTAGGTATTTTGTATTATCATTATTTACCTACCTAGAATAAGAAATTAGATTTTTACCAAGGAAAATAATTGATGGTTATTTCTCAGGTGAGATTGGAAAAAAATATTATTTTATCCTCTAGCAGTCTTTAATTTTAACTTTATTGTCGTCACTACTTGACACAATCTAATCTGTTCATTTTTTTAGAATAAATAATTGCATAAATTAGGGATAAATAAATACGGATAATCAAGTTGATGTGTTTGCCCTATAACGGAGCGTCCATGGTCCGAGCAGTGTAATGTGTTCCGAGTGACCTAAAATTGATTTTACATTCGAAGACTTGACGTTGACATACTGAGGAAAACCACCTATTTAAAATATTATTTCTTCAAATCTTAACTTTTTAAAAAAACGTTTACTGAATAAAAGTAAATGTTGCAACCATGTAAAGCACCATGAAGTTTATGGGAATGAGAGGGCCACAGAAAAACCGAAGCTAAGGGTAGGCAGAGAATACGCAACTAGACTAGAGAACAAGCTGGGCTGGTCCCTTAGACGCGTGTCTGTAATTTTTCATTAATAAATTTTTATTTTTATTTTGTATTAAACTGCTTGTTCATTGTTCAATCCAATTTGTGATTAGTGTGTGTGTCAAGGAGCGATCACAGGTCAGTTAAATAATTGTTATTTTGTTTTTGAGAGTTCAATTTATACAAGTTTTTTTTTTCCATTTTTATGTTTTTATGTTTGTTTATAACATTTTTTTTATAGCATGTGCATTGTTCATGTATTTAACAAAAATCGTTCCCTGCTGCGAACAACACAGATAAACAAGTAAATTGAAACCTAAGAAATTATGTGCTGTCTTTTTGTGCTGAGATTTTGATTTTGTGTGTTCAGAACGTGCATTAAGGCTTGTTAAATTTACTAACACTTTCCTACCCTGACGAGCGAATATCCTACCAAACAAAGGAAAGAGGTATTGGCTCAAAATAATACTATAGCTGAGTAGCATCCCGTATGGGACCTCAGTACCCTCCAGCAGACCAGCTAACTAACCAAAAACTCTTCAGTATTGATTATAGGTATAGTGTTGATTAAATGTTGTGTGTGTAATTAAAATTTTAGCACAAGAACAGGGGCGGTACCTAGTTTCAACTTTTATTGAATTAATGACTCACAATTATTATTAAAATAATACAGTATGTTTCGATTTTTGAGGAATGTTAGATCGAGGGTTTCTCTGCTGTGCTCTTTCCCCTCGTTAGTTCCAGGATGAGAACGGTACGATTTACTTTAATAATAAAGTAGACGTTTCAAAAATTTTTCGTTTCTTTTACATATCACAACTTCCCTTAAATTTCCCAAATATTTGCTATGTCGGGCGCATGTACAGTAAGTAAAATTGAGTAAGTTTCCACAACGTAGGCTCTATTTGTTTTTCATTTCGTTTTTCAGAAGATTTGTTGTTTAAAATCCATCCATATTCGATCAATAGACCTATCTATTTTACCAGACAAAGAGGTAATAATACGAAAACTTCATTAGATAAAAAAAGACAGAACGCTCATTGCGCAAGACGAGGCAAAACGTACCAAATTATGTTAGACTTACCTATAGCAATCCGTCCTACTTATTTGCACGGGATAAAAAGGGATGGAGAAAGACCGCATGTTGTGCAATGTATTTGTCAATGGAAATTTCAAACAACTCTTGAATGTCACTTGTCAAGCTATGTCAAGTTGAATAAACAAGGACAAGGAGACGCCCAGCGTGCAAAACGAATACCTGACACCTGTACTAGTTAGCCAATAAAAACACATTGCCTCGTGTTGCGCGCACATACCAGGTAAAAATAGATAGGTCTATTGTAGCTCAGCACAAAATACTTACTTCTTGTCCTAATGACATATGACATAAATAAATATTTTCTAACGTCCCTTTATGATATTGTTACGGAATTACATCGAAAACCGGCCAGAATTCTAGGAAACCTGTTGTTTACGGCTATGGCGCGTTTATTCTGTGAATTTTATTAATTCCAAATAATCAAAACAAGACTTCTAGTAAAATCCGGAGTACGATCTAGTAGTCAGTTTAAATACCTACAAAAATTTTGTTGTGTACGTTTCGACTAAGTGATAAGTGAATTGTTATAAAGTCAGTTTTGTTCAATAAGATTATTATTGTCTGTGAAGTGAGTTTTAGCAAACTCGGAATCCGATTATAGCTTGATGATGGATTCAGTTTTTTCAAGTTCAAATTTTTTTAGACCAACAGACTTGTTTGAGAATTTATGACTTTAATTTTATTGGTATAACAAGATTTTTGACTCATGTGAAGACAGGATACCCGTATCGATCAAAAACCTTGTTTTGAGATATTTTGGTATAACCTTCAAGAAAAAGGTTAACTTGCACAGTTGAACTCTTCTCTATCGTATCTTTTTAGCGTACGCAATTTGACAATTTTTCCTTTGAGGTGTTTGATGACCACCTTCTACCATTGAATCTTATTTTAATACGCTTGATTTTCTTTACGCGGACTCCGTTTTTCATTTGATTTATTATCGATTTTTGATGACTCTTAATAATACTTACTCCGATACTTCATATCTCGGATATTTTTGTTGACTTATTTACTCATGTCTCACTCTTGTTCTGACAGACTTCTTTTTCCTTTTTTATCCTGCACCGAGAGTTTTTTCCGAGGCTAGTCTTGCGGTCTCGCGAAATGCTAATCAAAAAGTAGGTATTTAAATTAGAGGTTTTCTGGCATAAAAATATTGTTGAAGAATTAGATGTATACAGATGAGCAAGAAGGTAGCTCTAAATTACAGTTCCTCATCTGCTAACTAATTTAAGGTTTAAGCAGACTTTTCCGGCCAGAATCGAACGAAATCGGACAGCAGAGGCGGCATCCGCTCGCTTCGGACCCATATGCTTTGATACCATTTGACATTTATGATTTTGGGTTTTTAACAAACTAGGTATATGATGGAAACAAGCAGCGCTGATGGAAATATTACTGTGTCTACTCTAGGATATAGAGAAAAAAGAAATGGATATAAATATGGAACGAAACCAGTAGGAAACAAATTTTTGCCGATCAATATTTGAAGACTAGCTCCGATCCGGCGTGCCAATCGATCGGTCGGCTTGCTTTCCTCTGGATGAATGTAGGCACTTGTATGTATGTATATAATATATGTATGTATGTATGTGTGGGAGGTGTCAGTTGCACTGCGACCAAGGTTGATCTATTGTGCCTCTCCTTCTGCTGCTAAGTTCGGGTTTCCTGCTCAAAGCAGCCCCTCCAGACCTAGCTCCTTCAGGAATTTTAGGATATCTAGCGGTTCCAGAGCTGGAATGTCTTCCAACTGTATAAGGGCACTTCCCAGGTTCTTCATCCTTGAGCAACTAACGTCATCACAGTTCAATAGAAGATGGTGAGGTGTCTCTTCTCCGTCTTCACAGAATCTGCAGCTGCCACCTTCTTCCAGTCCCAATTTTTGAAGGTGTTTCTTAATTCTTGAATGTCCCGAGAGAAACTCGGTTACAGTCTTGAGACTTTTCTTGCTAAGGTTGACTAGCAGTTCTGATCTTTTTTTGGTTGAAGTTGCCCAATAGATCTTTAGCATGTCGTAGTCCTGGGTGTCTTAGCCTTTAGCCATTGTCTGTTCCTTGACGGTTCTCTTCTTTTTTGAGAATTTCTTGGAGGTGCGCATTTCCGACGCCGCAAAATGGTTCTGATCCAGTGCAAGTAGTAGACGCTCCCGTTCTTGCGAGTCTGTCTGCGCATTCGTTGCCCTCGACACCTATGTGTCCGAGCATCCAGAGGAGGGTTACTTTATTTTCTTTTCCCAGCTTATTTAGTTTCTGTAGATATTCCCATACTGTCTTAGAATTGATGACCGGGGAGCTCAGTGCTTTGATAGCTGCTTGGCTGTCAGACATTATTTTTATCTCTCGTTTTCGATAACTTCTGTTTAGGTTGAACTTCACGCATCTTGTGAAATATGCTTGTTGATTCTCCCATTAGCTCCGAAGTCCGAATATCTGGTCCATGGCCCGAATACTCCGGCCAGTGGCGGATCCACGGGGGGGGGGGGTAAAGGGGGTAATTACCCCCCCCCAGAGAGGCCCAAGAAAATTTTGATTATTAAAAAAACACACAAGTCCCAGTACTCGACCTTCGACCGGCATTCGGCAGAGCACAAAAGTTGTTAAACCTACGTAAAAAAGGTTTTTTTTCGAGGTTTAAAATGCGTTTTAGGCGTGGCACCCAGTCAGTGTACTGGGTCCTACTTTGCACGTGCACCCCTTCAAGTATAGACCACGAGTCACCAATGGTTGGGAAGCTCTACCCCCCCAGAATTGTGCTATAGATCCGCCACTGACTCCGGCTCCAGTTCCCTCAGCAGTTTTGGAACAGCTTGTGTACCATTTGATGGGCTTTAAGGGATTGGCTAGATTTTATGTTTCTGTTTTTTGTACTTAGCTCGATGGAAAAGAATGTAGGCACTTACGAAAGTGAAAATTTAGTCTATAACGGCATCTGACGGATTTTATTTAAAATCCTGAATTCGAAATTTGTTCTATAGGTGCGCAATTCAAGGAGGCGATGATCGACGATTAGGTGCTTACCCAGAACGCAATTCACCCACCCTTGCATGGTCATTCGTTAAATGGAGAAGGAACAACTGTTACATAGATTCCCTTTTTTAATATCAGTACTTTCATGTAGTCCACCGACTGGGGATTGATATTTACCCGTAGTTTTCAAACATTTTATGTTTGACTTTCAAAAAGAGTTGAGAAAACGTACGTCATCATCATA